AGAAGCTGCGCTGAAAAGCAGTCAGTTAACTAAAGGAATGTGCAGTATATTGACATCATTTGACGAACGTTTGATGAAATTAGAGCAGACAATACTTCCGGTCTACCATGAAACAGGGAATTTACAAAGAAGACAAAATAGTATCCTTTAATTATGATTTAATACTAATTTATGAGTTTATAAAATAATTTTAATATAAAAACTGGAAATGCAGGGCTTGTAGTGACTCACTATTCTTGCTTTTACTCACTATTTTTCAGATTGCTCACTATTCACTACTATTTTTATAAAAACCTCACCTTTCTCACTAATTTTGAGATCTGAGTATATGTTGCGTGCTATATGTCATATTTTGGATACAATTATGACGTGTTTACAAGGTTTGTGACAAAATAGATTGGGTAATCATTAATGATGTATACACCTCACAAAAGTTCATCATGGTGCCACCTATTGGTGAGAGAAAGTATAGTGATATGAGCAAAAGAGGAGTTAGAGGGACTAGTGATTTCCTATGAAGTCATCTTGGAGATTCAACAGTCACTTTAGATAAAATATTTGGAAATGAGCCAAGAACATTATCAAACTTGCATCATTTTTACTTTGAATTTTTATTAAAATTTCAAAATATAAAAATACTGCCAAGATAATTCAATGGATAACATATTTTGTATCAAGTGAATCTAAAATGACATAATTTATGCAGATGAATATCTACAATAAATTAATACAGAAATGCAACAACAGTGGCTGATGTTTCAATTTGGAAAAAAATTGACTTGGTCTTTAATGCTGTCATTGAAGAGAATTTTTTGTTATGCAGTTAGTCATGTGTGTCATGATTGTTGGTTGGCACTCCAAGTTTCAAATATTGGAAGCATAGCGTTTACACCAAACTTTATTAGCTGTGGCATAAGTCAGAGAATGGGAAAGAAGTACTAGTCACATAGTCACATCTTATTTTGAGAAAAGAAATAAAACTGACAATTAATAAAGATTACACTAGTATAAACTAGTGATGGGACAGTTAATCAGAATCAAGCAAATGTTGTCACAAGTTTTGATTCCTAAAATGATTCTTCCACATTTTATAAGAAAATTATTTGTTTTGGTTGAAGATTAAACATTTTTTAAATTATGATATTAACAATTAAGTATTCGTTTATTGGAAACTTTCATATTGACAAATCAGAGTATGCAATGGTGACTTTTCTTTCATGAAGTCAGAGCGATCAGAGATTTCACTTGGTTAGTACTAACTGTCCCCATTTTAAGGGAGTTAGGGTGACATTAGTGTTGCCATTCGGCCAACTTGACTGTGTATATATTGAAAGCAAAATGTTCTGTTATTGCTGCACACAAATAATGTAAATTTAAAAAAGTAATTTCATTTACAATTTGAAAATTTCAAAACAACTTTTAAACGTTTTTAATTTTTAATTGATTTCATTTTAATTAATTCTGATTTTATTTTTAATTTTAGTTTTGATTTCAGTATAAAGGGCAGAGTTTTAATTATTATTGTTAGTTTACTTTATTTAGTATTAATTTTGTTTTAGCTTTTATAATTATTTTTAATAATTTATATTTACTTTTGCCTGCATTTTTGAATCCTTAATTACAATTTTTAATTAATTGCAACTCTTTTCTTTTGCAACATAACTATAGAAATTGTTCTAGTGTTGTTTCACACAAAAGATGATCAAATTTTAATATTTTTTTTTATTACTTTTGTTAATTTTTGTTTTATAAATTTGCCTGCTTTTTAAAAATTTTAATTATAAGCAAATTAACATTGATTGAACTATCAAAGTACATAGTTTCAAATCCATGCCAGCAGTCAGCTAAAACAATATTATATAATTCTGTTTATATTTTAAACTTTTCCAATTGAAATATAAAATTATTTTTAATATTCAGTAAGTTTACTTATAATGATAAAACTACTTTCTGATTATAATTATGAAAGTTTTTGTTAGGATTCACAGAAGATGCTTGAATGTTATGCATTGAATTTTCAAATGTAATTAATGCGATTCTAAGTAAAATAATGTGCCATTTTGAGTTCTAAAATTGAATTTTCAAGATGAATTGGTCTAGACATTCATGGGTCAAGTGAATGATTTCAAAAATTGGTTAACTTGTGATGATGATATTTGTTCAGCTCATTGTGTCATTTGTCAAACCTCATTTAGTGTTGAATACAATAGAATTAAAGCATTTATGAGGCATGCTGATTGCAAGATGCATGGGAAAAAGTGCATCATTTCATTAACCTTCTTGAGGTCATCACTTCTGCTAACGAAGCAGTTTCCAAAGATGGCGGCCATAAATGACGTAATGGGATAATTCTTTGAGTAAAAGAGAATTAGCTGTAATTTCTTTGCGAGTATTGTTGTAATATTAACTTATTCTGATTAATCTAAAGAAAATTTTCTGATTATCTAAAGAAAAATGGCGCCGTCCATTACAGTAATTTTAAATACATAGCAGCTTTTATTTCTTTGCAGCATAAAATTTATTTTGTATAAAATGTTGTTAATAACTTAATTCATCTCGCTAGATGTAAGTTTTAATAGATGGAGAAAACATTAGAATCATTACAAAGAGTTTTAACGAGTGGAAGTAGTCATCGAAGGTTTCTCCTTCCTATGATCGGTAATAGGAAGAGATTTGGAGATTTCGTTGAGCGACTGAGAATTGCTTCTTCGAAACATGTAAGGTTTAACAAAGAATTAAGTAATTCCAAATTCATTTATATATATTTGCAAAATCAATAGCTTTTAAATGCCCATACATAACATATCTTCATAATATATAGTTCAGTAAATGATCTTTAGGTCTATCTATAAATAATTTGGAAATATTTTGCATTACATGCTAAATCATAGTTATTTTTTTATGTGAGTAAATAAAGTAGCATAGCTTTAATAATTAGAAGAAAGGCAAACAGCTTGTATTTTAATTAATTGACTTTTGATGATATAATTTATTTGATTTTAATATATTTTGATTTTAACACCTAATGTGTGTGTATTTTTATACTGAAAAAGTTTAAAATTAATTTGCTGATGGTTGTATTTTTTTATACATGTAAAACTAGGATTATTATAACAGTTGAAGGCAAAATACGAACGGATTAGCATTAAAAGTACTCGGATAACAAGGAAAAACAAAAGAAATTTATTTATATTTTTCAATCTGGTAAATGTAGGCATATAATATAAAGTTTAAATATATACTTTCCTTTGGGGCACAGAATTCAATTTTAAATGTAAGAAAACTATGTTACTACTTAGACGACAAGTACTGTCGAATTGAAATACCATTATAATGAATGTGCACATGTTTTCTAAGCAACAGAACCATTACATTTGCTTATACAATGTTGCCATCTAGCCAACAAATGCAATAATAATCATCAAAAATTAAGCACCATTTGTTACATTTAAATGTAACTGGTTATTATTTAACTATTAACTGTGCAGTCAGTTGAAAAGTATGGACTGTCCATACTAAATATGGATGTATGACAACCCTAGTAAAACATGATTTTACAGAAGTTTTAAAAGCATCACAGTTNAAACATTTTAGTTTTATGTAGAGAAGACATGCCATAATTCTTTCTTTCGTAATTTATTTTTAATTTTACTAATTTATCGATTATGAAAGGTATATAACTGTTAATTAGAAAAAATAACCAGTTAAAAAATTGAAGGAGCAATAGTGTAATGTGAGTAGTAAGTCAAGTAATGTTTTATTTTGTTAATGTGCCATACCGTAAGGGACTTGAGGGTCAGGGAATTTAAAACCAAAATTTGAGTAGAACTCTGTTTATGAATATTGGACGATTCTTTAATAATTTCTTATATCATATCGATAAACAGATTAACTTAATATCGCAATCAATGATGATAAGGCTTACAATCATTACTATGATTTCTATTATTGGCAAACTTTTCTTATAATATTAAAAGAAAGAAAGGATAGTAACCTGTAGGGTCCATCTTTATAAGTAGAAAATACTGATTTTAAAAATATTTATTGAAATAATATGATTAAAATACAAAGAGAAATTCCGGCATTTATGAAATTAATTTTGATTTCAATTGATGTTTTAAATGTTCATAGTCCATGATATTCTTTATTGATAAATCACATTGATGATATCATGATTAATATATGTTATTCATATAATGGGAGAGAAATTAAAAATTTTATTCGATTGCTTTCTTTTTAAAGTATATCAAGTTTCCTAAATCAAGGTTAATCTTTCAAGTAATAGGAGACTTTACTTTCATCCTATTTTGAATTCTATCTGTTTATTTAACAGATTTTCTATTTGTAACCTGTATTAAGTTAAATTTTATTGGGTAATTTTAATTTAAAAGTTATTATTTAAATTATATATTACCCTAATTTAAAATATTCTCTGTATAATTGATAACATATAGGAAATATCTTAAATTAAACGAAATATTCAAATCACAATACTTATAAATACAATAATAATAAATACAATTTCATTNATACAATGTTGCCATCTAGCCAACAAATGCAATAATAATCATCAAAAATTAAGCACCATTTGTTACATTTAAATGTAACTGGTTATTATTTAACTATTAACTGTGCAGTCAGTTGAAAAGTATGGACTGTCCATACTTCAAATTTCGAAGAAAAAATTATATTTCAATTTTAAAAAGACAGTTTTTATATATTCTATAAATAGTAATCGTTTATATTTTACAAATAATTATCAACATATAACCTGATTTTCGCATATAAAAATATAATTTTTATCAGAATCATCGAGACAAGATAATTTTTATGATGTAATTTCAAATAAATAATATTTGCTATCAGAAATAAACCATATTTTCATTTCTCTATTTGTGTATTGAATTTTCTAAATTCACCATGTCATTTTTGAAATGGCATCCATCGTAATCTTTATGACGATATTACGATATTGTTTATGTATCGTAGATAATATTGACAGATTTATTTTTATAGATAACTAAACACTATTGAAAATGTCTTTCAGAATTATTTTACAGACTACGATTATTTGAATTTTATCAAATCTCTTCTAAAAGTAGAAACGTATAACGGGCCGTCGGGAGCTTGTATGGGGATG